TGGCTTAAGTCACATGCCTACTTCTGAACCAACTACTCTGATAAGGAAGAAATGTGCTAATTGGCTCAGTGCAATCAAGGCTCACTCCTGGGAGTAAGGTTTGCTTGCCACATGGCACATCAAGGCCTGGGGAACAGTAGACACTGAAGCGAAAACCAGGATGATGCCAGGGAAGGGGAGCATTGAGGCTGGGTGGTAACCAATAGCTGTTCATTGCAGAGCACAAATCCCCTGAGCTATGCCTCCCTTGCCCTAGTAAATAGCACAGAACTTTCTGTACCACTGTCAGCTGCACAAGTTTTTCAAATTAGCATTTTCTGCTTAAAATAAAATAAAATAAAAACCCCAATTTGAGTTTGTTTCCCAATGTCCTAGTGTATTTAAAGTATACATGTTTCTCCCTGTACACAATCAATATGAGTTTCCCAAAGTTGCTTATAAATTGGAATTTACAATTAGTAAATTCATATAAAATAAATACACTGGAGGGCTCAATATTTTTTAACAATGGCAAAATTTTCGCCAAAGCCAAGAATCTTATAGCTTCTTTTTAAGAAAAAAAAAAGACTTTTTTTTCTAAATTTTCCCCATTTATCTGTAGTCATGACTTCTGTGTCTTAAATGCTTGGATACTGACAGATCTCCAAACAACCAATACCATATGGACTTGGGGAAGTGCTAAGTCAGTGGTTCTCAAAGTGTGCTCCCTAGACCAACAGCATCGGAATCACTGGGAAACTTGTTAGAAATGCAAATTCCCAGACCCCACCAGAGACCCATTGAATCAGAAACCCTGAGAGCAGGGGAGGGGGGGCAATAATTCCTGGTTTAACAGGGCCTTTAGGTGATTCTGAAGCAAGTCTGAGAACCATTCACTGCATAAATTAAGTAATATGGAAACGGGAATGAGAAAGTTAGCAATCTAAAGTGCAGTCTTTTCACACCTAAAATTCTTGAGATACTTGTTCCATGTGAATGCTTCATCGTATTTACACAAAGTATTC